ATAAATTTAAGGTGGACAATATGATGATTTGATATATATTGTGAAGTACTTATCACAGTAGAGTTAGTTAACAGCTCCATCACTTCACATACTTTTTTTTTTTTGGTGGTAAGAACATTTAAGAGTTACTGTTTAGACAAATTTCAAGTTTATAACAGTACTGTTAACTATAGCCACCATGCTGTACATTAGATACCCAGAACTTACTCGGCTTATAGCTGCAAGTTTGTACTCTTTGACTGACATCTCTCCATCTCCTCACCCCCAGCCCCCGGAAAACACCATTCTACAACCATTTTTGAGTGTGACTTTCTCAGATTCTACGTGTAAGTGGTATCATACAGTATTTGAGCTTTTCTTCTGATTGATTTCACTTAGCCTAATGCCCTCCAAGTCCATTCATGTCAACAAATGGCAGGACTTCTTTCTCCTTCATGGCTATATAATATTCCATTGTATATATGTAGCACATCTTTATCCATATATCCACTGATGAGCACAGGTTGTTTCCATATCTTACTGTTCTGCATAATGCTGCAGTGAGCCTGAGAGTGCAGATAACTCTTTGACAGACTGATTTAGTTTCCTTCAGCCATATATCCAGAAGTGGGATTGCTGGATCACATGGTAGTTCTGTTTTTAGTTTTTTTGGAGAAACTGTATACTCTTTTCCACAATGGCTGTACCTATTTACATTCTCACTAACAGTGCACATGGGTCCCTTTTCCACACACCTTTGGCAGCACTTTTATCTTTTTTGAAAATAGCCATTCCAACAGGTGTGAGATGATGCTTTGTGTGATTTTGATTTGCATTTCCCTGTCAGAGGTGATTTTGAATATCTTTTCATGTAACTGTGTGAATATTTCTTTCTGTTTTTCTCAGACCTCCTATGGATATACCTTCTCGGTGCTTCTTGCCCCCTCTTGCGGCAGATTCTTAGGCTTGTGTGCCCTCTTGACCCTGCAATGCACCAGGCTGAGTGATGGCTGAGCTCCTTTGGCTTTCCCGAGGGACGTGCAGATGCTAAAGTTTGTCATCTCTCCCTGGCCTGTAGATGCAGGCTGGCTTTCCCTTCCCTAGCTGTCTGCCAGAGCTCGCTCTCTCTGCCGTGGGGAGGGCGTCCAAGGAACCAGCCCTGGGGTGGAGCAGGTGTGTGGGGGTGAGGCACCCCGTCCTGGAGATGCCCGTGGGCTGTGGAAGGGGGATCAGTGGGCAAAGCGTTTTGGCAACTCATGGTCAGGCCTCCTGATGGAGTCTGTCATGCAGTTAGTAGGATCTGTATCCCTTTTATACATTCAAAGTCCTGGCTGCCCTTCTTTCAGCCACTTCCCAGCCCCTAGTTGTGCATCTTACAACTCAGTACTCAGGACAGAGTGAGAGAGAAATACCAGGACCTGTGCAGCTGGGGCGGCCAGAGACTGACTCACACGCTCTCACTTTCCTCTGTGCAGAGATCTTGTGCAGAGAGGTGCTCTCTTGGCCCTGGGCTGCGTTGCCGTGTGGGAAGGATGAGGTGTGAAACCGTCTCGCTTACCCTCAACAGTGTGTCTGAACTTGGATCTAGTGGTGTTTTTGGAGCTACTCTGGTGGACTCTTTGACCTCCACAAAGGTTGATGGTCCAAGTTATTGTTCTCCAGTGGCTCCCAGATTGTGTCCAAGAGGGGCTGGAGCCAGTTCATGGGCCACCTCAGGTCCACAGCCAGGACCGAAGTCTGTATGCTTATAACCCAATGTGCTGGGTGCGCCAGACTCCTTCCGGGTCCCTTGGTGCACAGGACTGAATCCCGCAGCTCCCGCAAAGGCACTTTTGTCCACAAAGGGTGCAAACTGCTGTGGTTGAAAGGGGAGTATGAGTTGGGGATGTCTTACTCATTCATCTTGCTGACATCACTCTGGCTCATTTTTGAGGACCCAGAAAGTTTTAGACTCTCTAGTCAGAAATATAATGCAACTTTATGTATCTGTTTGGTGCTAAGTTATATAGGAGCACCACGTACATAGGTCAGTGATCACAAGCTACTTTCACTATATAGAGTTATGAAGTTATGAAGGTTGAATACATTCTTGGTGATGACATACTCTAAAATATTAAAATTTACTAGAAAAATGCCAGAAATCTTTTCCCTAATTTAAATCATCTTTTTGGCCTTACTCATGAATCAAGTTTTTATATCCTCAGGTTCACTTCTGGTGAGAGAATTCCCAAGAGGTAATTTCTTATCCTGAAATGGTTTTTTTTTTTAATATATCATTTGTATCAGTTACATCTAGTCTTTTGAGGATGGTCTTCCTCTTCCTTTGATATATATTTTGCTTTTCTCTATATATTCAGTTCATCAGACCTAGATCACTAGACTCCAGTCTAATGCTCAGATGTGTCTTTATCTAATTTCTATTTTTGACCAAGTCACATTGCCAAAAATATATACTAATATTGCACCATCCTCTTTCCATCACTTCCCTCTTTACTCTCTAGATTCTTTATTTCTAATTAAATTTTGCCAGAATGATAGCATTTTTCGTTCATGTTGTTGTTTTAATCCATTCTCTTCCTCCTTTTCTGGCCATTTGTATTTCATCACAAATCTTGTAATCACCTTTTGACAAAAATGATGCAAACCTTTATGGATATTTAAAATACACTGCACTACAGAACATGGCTCAGTTAGGGTTTCGGTAGTAGCAGAACCCCCTGGATAGTAGTGTGAGGTTGAGGGAATGAAAAAGGAAATCTCAAAGTGTGCTGAGGCTAACAGCAGTGAGAAGCCATTCCCGTCCATTGAGTTTTGGGGCAGGAGGAGGAAATGCAGTTTCCAGAGCCCAGTAAGAGCGGAAGCTTCAGTTGTAGGGGGACGTAGCTACTGCACAACACACAGTGTAGGGGCTTAGAGGAGAGAAATACCCTAACCTCTCACTCTCCCTGTTTTTTGATCTTCTGCTTCTGAACATGCAAACTCAAACAGAAGACAGCTCGTAAGGGAGCGGGGGTGATGAAGTTATCAGCGAAGAGAAGGAGCTAGGGTTGTGACAGATAAAAATAATCAACAGGATGGCCCAACGTAAAATAGGACCTAATTAAAGGAGTCTGAACAGGGAAGAAAGTGTTGGTGTCAGAGTTCCACAAAGGAAAATTAGTTACTTGATCTAGTGCTTTTGGTTCAGAAATAGTGGATGAAACTGAGAGTATTTCTATGTATTCCCAATGATCTACTGTGCATTTGTCACTAGAAGAAGGGATGAATTTGGACATGCTAAGTAATTTCTTGCCTCCTGTTTCCTCCTTTGTGATTGGGGGAGTGTACTACCTAATGCTTTATCGTCTGGACCCTTGATGGAGAGACAAGGGAAAGTGTGTAGGCAAAGCATAAAGGACTAATTAGGTGATGTAACTGAGTTGAGTCCCTCCATAGCTTAGTAGGTTGAGTTAGTTCATGGCCATAGACTAAACTATAGTTAGCCACCTTAAAATTGTGTGCATTTGTTTAAAAAGCATGTTAGGCTTGAGTGTATGTGCCAGTGAAAGTTCACTACCCCTGGCAAGAATCTCCTGGAGGAAGGGGGAAGGGATTCTATTCAGAGTTTCTTATTCTTAGTTTTCATGGACTTCATTTTGTTCATAGCTATTCCATGAATTCTAGTTTTCAGGCAGGTTTATGCTTGTGGAAATTTTCTTAAAGTTTCCAGTTAATGAGAAAATAAAAAGATTCAACAACTAAAGAAGTATCTTAGAAGCCCATGCTGGAGTAATACAGTGGGCATGTGATGAGGCTCCATCCTTTACTGAGGAACCTTTAAAAGTGTAATACCATGTCTTGGTCCCACCCTTAGACCAGTTAAGTTAGGATCGCTGGGGTGTGTGGCATGGGCATTGGTGTCTTTAAGAAATCTGCATGAGATTTTAATGCTATTTAGAGTAAAAAATGATTGATCTTTCCTATTTTTCTTTTTCAGTTTTCACCTAGGAAATATTTTATGCATTCCTTCTATGCATATGACACTTCTTGGGTTTTGTTATTCAGCATATATTGGAATATATAAACTCCTATCCAATGTCATGGCCATTTTACCTATTAACATCATCATTAAACTTTTTTACATAGACTGGTCTTCACAGGATTAAATAATTAATATGTTCAAGGATTGTGTTTCTGCCCACTTTTCTATTCCTGTGTATGTGCTTAGTCACTCAGTCATGTCTGACTCTTTACAACCCCATGGGTTGTAGTCTACCAGGCTCCTCTGTCCATGGGATTCTCCAAGCAAGAATAGTGGAGTGGATTGCCATTCCCATCTCCATGCGATCTTCCCAACCCAGGGATCAAACCTAGGTCTCCTGTATTGCATGCAGATACTTTACTGCCTGAGCCACCAGCTAAATTTTAAGATACAATTAGTACTATGTTAGTAAAGGTGATACTATAATTCACAGATATTGCTATAATTTGCAGATATGGCTACTTATTTAAGGTAAGAGACCACATTTCACTTGGTGGCATTCTTATAAAAATGAAAGACCTATAATTAATGTTTAATACCTTTCATAATGATGAATAAAATTACCGATTGCTTTTCCTGCTGTGAGCAACATGCTTAGGCTTTTGACAACAAAGTAAAGATATTAGTAACGTCTGTGTATTTAAAGCACAGTAATAAGATAGAGGGAAAGGAACCATCTAAAGCAAGAGAAATGCTTTATCCCACAAACTCACTTTGTTTGGGATCTTTTAAATATGATATGTGATCTATTCCCATTTTTCAGGTGAGGTTCAAGTGATACATGATTTTTCTCTAGATTTTCCAACTAGTAAGTGGTTGAATTGGGATTTAATTATAGATCTGTTTGCTTCTAGAGCCCATACCCCACTCCTTCCCTAATATTAAATTGCCTTTTGTCCCTGTAAAATCTGGGAATGTAGATGGATGGATGATTATTTGAAGTTACTTGTATGTGTTTCTTTTATCTATGATATGATTTAGCCTCTTTTTGCCCCTCCAGGATAATACCCCTCAAGCTGAATGGCCCTCAGCAGATGAATCCACCATGAGCAGCATTTCACCACTTGGTTTCAGCTCCGGCCTTCCTTCAGCCACTGGCAGGGAGCTCTGGTCAGAAAGCCCTTCGGGTGATTTAGTGTCTACACCCAAGTTAGCCTTTCCCTCGAAGGTGAGCCTCAGTCCTTCCCCAGAGGTTTTAGATGTTAGCGGCTTGACTCTTCATTCTGTCACCCCAGCAGTGCTTCACACTGACCTGCCTGTGGCTTCTGAAGAAAGGACTTCTGGGTCTCACGCATTAGAAGATGGTAAGGAAGTTTATTCACTTTTCATAATTAATTGCATCGGATGACAGAGATTTTGAAGAGAGCAAGAGACTAGGGTTAGAGGAAAGCATGGCCACACTCAGTGAGAGGAAATGTCTTGGGAAAGTTGTGAGAAAGGGAGCAATTGGCTTTGATGGGCTGGAGTGGAGAGTCCAAATAGGTAAATAATAAGAAATGAATATCTTGGGTGAGATCACCTAACAGACACTTTGAAGGTCCTGTTAAAGGATATATAATTAAATTATATTACTATTTAGGAACTACTTGCTTGAATATTTTAGTAGTAAACAAACAGCCTCAAAGATTATGCCAGTATCTTTTAATAGGATTAATTTGGGGCCAGCAGAGATTTTTAGCTTGCATTAGGCTTGAGAAGGGGGAAGTCTGAACTAGGGAAGCTGTAGCAGAGATTAAGAAATGAAAGTCAAGTAGATGATTTAGATGTTGTGGCAGGAGGGAACAAATCAGTGAGACTCAGGGATAGAGTATAGGTGAAAGAGGAAGATGAATAAAGATAAAAATAATGAGCCCAGGTTTTTGAACATTAGGTGAACCTGAAGAATGGTGGATAATAAACATAGCCAGGAAATGGGGATTCAATTTCCTAGGGACTTTTCTTCCTAAGATTTTACTAGAGACAGTCTTTGTTGTCAATATGGCTACCAGCAGTTCTCTGTTTTCATGGGGTTAAAAAAAGAAAAACCCAAAGTGTTTGAAGATGAGTTATTTTAGTACCTGATGTCTTGTTATCCTCAGGGAAGGGGGTTATAATCACGAGTGATTGTACCACATTACAAAAACATAATCATCCCTTCTTGTTGTTTGCTGGATTTGGCAAAGTAAAAGTCAACAACTGTCTGTCATGATCTAATGGGAAAAAACAGGTAGCTGGTTTTATTAGGACTGGGAATATATTTTGGCATCTTTGTGAATTGATTAATGGAAAACTCTGTTTTTAGGATTAACGAAAGTTGAAGGGTCAGAAGATTTTCTTTCTGTTAATCCATTGCCTTCAAGTCCATTTACATATCCTGTGCCAAAAGAAACGCCACGATCCATGGAAGACTCTGGGGTATCTTCGCCATCCTCACCACATCCAGTCTCCTCTGTCACATTTGATCCTCTTGCTAAAGAAGTAACTACACCGTTTGGCATGGACTCTTTGGCCTCCAAAGTCAAAGACCAATTGGAAGTGAGCACTTGGATGCCAGACACAACTATGGAAAAAGAGTTCATGTTTGAAAGCGGTTTGGGTTCAGGGTCTGGGCAAAAGGTAGACCTGATTACTTGGCCGTGGAGTGAGACTTCATTCGAGAACAGCACTGAACCATTGTCCAAGTCGTGGCTTGAAGCTGAGGATTCACTTTTGCTAAATGAGGGTATAGATGTGAAACTAGTTATAGATGACAAAATAGATTCTGCAGATCAACCCACTGAGCATTCAGAATATGGGCCTTTTGATGGGTCCACAAACTTTGCAGAAGATGAGCCCCTTGGTGGACCTACTGTGTCCCTCTTTGCAGAGACCACAACTCAATCTGCATCTCCAATTCTACCCAGGCACACATCAGAAATACCCGACATTGATTATTACTCAGTTACCAAACCACCTCCTCTGCTGACATTTGTGGCAGTCTCTGCTTCTACTGATAAAGCAGATCAAGTGGAACCCTTTCTAAAGGAGGATATGGAGCAGACTACAGAGTCATTTAACCGTGAATGGATTGACAGCAGGATTTCAGTAGTGAAGTCAGATACGCAGCCTTTGAGGACCACCGTGCCAGAGTCAGATGTCATTTGGGCAAGAACTTCTCCCTTAGGGAAACTGTCCAGAGACACATTGGCAAGCACACCACAGAGTACTGACAAGCTCTGGTTGAAAGCTTCCATGACACAGTCTACCAAATTGTCTCCAGCCATAAGTTCCACCCTGCTGGAAGATGAAGTCATTATGGGTGTACAGGATATTTCATTAGAGTTGGACCAGATAGGCACAGATTACTATCAGCCTGAGCCAATCCCTGAGGAAAGTGGCGTGGTTGGTAGTTATGTGGAAATGTCTACAAATATTCACTCCACAGAGATGGCTGTTGTGGCTCAACCCACAAGAAGTGATGACTTGAGTCATACCCAAGCCGTAGGAGCTGTGGTGGTTTTCTTCAGCCTCAGAGTGACTAACATGATGTTTTCAGAAGATCTGTTTAATAAAAACTCTTTGGAGTATAAAGCCCTGGAGCAAAGATTCTTAGAACTGGTAAGCATGAGACGTGAAATACGGGCATTAGTGAATAACCATGTATGAACCACTCCTCTCTCCCCACAACATAAGATCTGAGCCAAGAAAAGTGTGGTCTGCTGTGGACTTTCATTTCCTATCATCTCCAAATAGGGTAATGGCCTAGGGTTGGTAGGAAAACAGAGACAGGTGGATACAAAAAAAGGAAAGCACAAATGTGGCATAACGGTGATATGACAACTTAGATACTGGATTTTTTATTCCATGATTTCTAGGATTGAAACAAGTTTAAGCTTTATTTTCACATTTTACTCTGAGATCGGTGCCTTGTAGGTACCTATAATGCTTTCACTGTCAGATCCTTTAGTGAAACAGAGTAAACTCTCTGGTGGCTAAAACTGTGAGCTCCACGGGTTTCCTAAATAACTGATAACCTCATGACTCAAATAATTCACAGTTCATACTTTTGTTGATGAACAATTTAAATAATGTAGACAGAATACAGTTTGGAAAAGTGGAGAGGTTCGTCTTTCTTTGTTTTTGGTGTATTGAACAAAACGTAAAACTTTGTCAATGAACTGACCACTTTACATGTATTGTAGCTGGTTCCCTATCTCCAATCAAATCTCACTGGATTCCAGAATTTAGAAATCCTGAACTTCAGAAATGGCAGTGTTGTGGTGAACAGCCGAATGAAGTTCACCAGGTCTGTCCTTCCTAACGTCACCAGTGCTGTCTACGTGATTCTGGAAGACTTTTGCACTACTGCCTACCAAACCATGAACTTGGCTATTGACAAATACTCCCTTGATGTGGAATCAGGTAATGATATTGAATGCTATCTTGGTTTCATAGTGGAATCTAATTATTATTCTTGTGTATTTTCTTCCACACTGAATCGGGTAAGTTCAATACTTACAGGTAAAGGAGGACTAAGTCAGGCAAATTTGCTGCATTTCGATAGTTAGTAAATTATCTCTTCCAAGGATGTCAGGATCATTCTCTTTTCAGAAGGGTTGTCCCACATGCTGTCTTTACTTAGCTCCCTTTCTGTTTTCTACCTGCTCCATCTTTTTCTCTCTTTTACTTACCCATTGAATGTGTTCTTGCTACCTCTGTATGTTGTGAAGCTTATTAGATGTGAACTCTCTCGCCTTCTGTGTTATTTTCCTGTGTTGTTTTATCTATTTCCATTATTGTAAGTCTAATATAAATGTCAATAACTCTTTACATTTTTATATGCAAATCAGGCTTATTTTCTGAGCTCCAGAATTTGTATCTAACTACATAGTTGATGATCTCAACCTGGATATATTCTATGTATATCAAGCTTAGATTAAGCCCTTAAGCTAAGACTGAGCCCTTGTTTTCCATCTCTTCGTACCTTCCAACTAAATCTGCTCATCTCAGTTTGTCTCTATTGTTAAATGGAAATTATATCCACTCCGCCTCTGAAGCCAGATACCTAGAAAGTCACTCTGATACCTCAATTTCCATCACCCCTAACTTTTAGTCACTCACTAAATTTACATTGATTCTGAATTCTAGTTATCTCAGATCTATGTGTTTTTCTCTGCCTTCACTGCTCCTTCTTTAGGCCAAACCATCATCATCTTTCATTTGGACCAGTTTCCCCACTATCTCACTTGTTTTCCTCCCTCCCATCCCCTCCCATTCGTTTTCCAGACAGCAGCCAGGGCACTCTTTCTAGAGCATTGATCAGATTATTTCACTTTCCTGCTTAAAATACTTTCAGTGGCTACCTGGTTCCTATCTTCTTCCCCAGTATCACCCAGTGAAACGAACTTTTTTACTCACTGTGTTCTACTCAGACTAGCTTGTTTTGGGCTCCTTTGATTCCCAAAACTTTTCTTGTCTTGAAACCTTTGCATACTCTGTCTTCTTTGCCTGAATCTCTTTCCCCTCTTGGCTGACTTCTGCTTATCCTTTATGACTCAGTTCAAATGTCTCTTCCTCAAGACTTTCACTGATTCATCCATAATCTAGACTGGTTCTTCTCCCTCTGTAGAATTTATAACTATTGTGATCATGCTAATTTATGCACATAGTTGCTTAATAGCTATTTTTCCCAGTGGAAAGATCCATACAAACTGAGACTTTGTTTAATTAGCCACTTTGTAGCCAAAACCTCTTCATACAGAAGGTACTCAAAAGTACTGTGAATGAATGAAATGAACCATTGTTTTTATTTGAAAGACTTGGTTGCAGAGAATACTGGTGGATGCTCAAACTTTTTTCTTCTTCACCTTCTGCATACCAGAGGAGTTTGGTTTTGAGTAGGAGTAAGATGGAATGTCTGGGTTTGAATTTCTCCAGTGCCTTTTACTCTCAAACTGGTTTGGAAGCCAGCCCTATTCTTGAACCGGGAAAGAAGCAAACATTCTTTCCTTTGAAATCCATGAAGGACCATTATTCATTGAAAGTGAGGAAAATGATTTAGCTAATTCTCCTGTATCCACATCTCTTGCCACTTGAGTTCTTTAAGGACATTTGCACATTTTTGCCGTGTGGTCCTGTGGTGTAGTGGAAGAAGCAATTAATTATAATTTGGAAGACCTGGTTTCTTGCCCCTGCTCTGCCATTTATCATTTGTGTGATCCTAGATGAGCTGTTTTATCTCTGAGCCTTACTCCCTTATATAGCAAACGGGATAATATTACTTGGCTAATATTTCATGGGGCCATTCTAAGGATTAAACAAATAGCATATATAAAACATTTGACTAGCCATATAAATGCAAGCAGTGATGATTTATAAAGCTTTTGCAAAAGTCTACCCACTTCTTTTTGAAGAGAAGTATATAAATAAGTACATTTACTTCAGTTTTGTTTGTAACTCACATGTCAGATGTATGCCAAGTCATCCAGGTTTATAGAACCACCTTTTTCCTTAATAGTCAAATGAATTTGCATTCATCCTCACCATGTGCAGTGTAAAACCTGCATCCTAGGCCCTCCAAGCCCTAACATCTCTAGGAATTATCAAGGAATTTTAATTATCTCCAGCTTTGAGTTTCTTCTTTTGAATTTCCAATCTTACCATTTGCTTTGACCCTTGTGGTGGTTCTTTATGTTAATCCAACACAGATCACAGTCCCATATTTTATTTTCCCAAAATACCCTCAACACAAGGCAGTTGATTCCATCAGATATTTGCTGATGATATGAGTGTGATAGAAGAGTTTTGGGCATAGTATAGAAAATGGGTTAAAAAAATATTACTGTTAGGTATAAATATCCCCAAATTTCTCAGCCACCCTTTAAAAGGTGTCTTTTAACAGCCAAGTTTTCCTCCAGGACAGAGTCAACTACTGCATTACTTTGGCACCTCTGGCTATTTTTCCAGACCTTCTTCATATTTCCTCTACTCCCATTTTCTGGGACCCATCAATCCTTCTCTTCGCCTGTCCCTGAAAACCAGAATGTAATTCATTCTACAATTTAGATCCCTGTCTCCTATCTCAAGCGTAGCTCCAACTCTCCCTCTGGTTTTCCATAAAGTCATTAAATATTCTTCCCAATGGAGAGCTATCCATTCTGAACATCTACCTTTAATCTGCACAAAAGACTAGAAAGAGACTTTAAAATGCCAGTCTCTTATTTGCGTGATTAAAATATTGGTCTCAGTCTCTCTCCTCGACTGGAAATAAAAGGGGCAACGTTTATCCTTTTTCCCTTACAGATTCTGTTTTTCCTTTCCCTCGGCACTCACCTACACCCATAGAATGGTCACGGAGTTTTAGAAATTTTAAATAGAATTTTCCTATTACACATACATTTTTAGCTAAAAAGTTTCAGATTAAAATATTGTTTTATCTCAAGATTGGCTAAGGATAAGATTGACTTGTCTCTTGCTTAATTTATTTTCCCATATAGTGTCTCAGAAATTCTTGAACTTCCATCAACAAAGGGGGGAATGTGCAATACCATCCTTTGTTGTTGTTGTTCAGTTGCTAAGTCGAGTCCAACTCTTTGGGACCCCATGGACATCAGTCTCCTCTGTCCTCCACTATCTCCCAGAGTCTGCTCAAATTCATGTCCATTGAATCGGAGATGAAATCTAACCATCTCATCCTCTGCCACCCCCTTCTCCTTTTGCCTTCAGTCTTTCCCAGGATCAGGATCTTTTCCAGTGAGTCTGCTCTTCACATCAGGTGGCCAAAGTATTGGAGCTTCAGCTTCAGCAAGAGTCCTTCTAGTGAATATTTAGGGTTGATTTTCTTTAGGATTGACTGGTTTGATCATGTAGTCCAAAGGACTCTCAAGAGTCTCCACCAGTATTACAATTCAAAAGCATCAGTTCTTTGGTGCTTAGCCTTCTTTATGGTCCAACCCTCACATCCGTACATGAAAACTGGACAAACCGTAGCTTTGACTATATGGACCTTTGTTGGCAAGGTGATGTCTGCTTTTTAATATGCTATCTAGACCGGTCATGGCTTTCTTTTCATGGAGCAAGTGTCTTTTAATTTCATGGTTGTAGTCACCATCTGCAGTGATTTTGGAGCCCAAGAAAATAAAATCTATCACTGCTTCCACTTTTCCCCTTCTATTTGCCATGAGGTGATGGGATCAGATCCCATGATCTTAGTTTTTTAATGTTGAGTTTTAGGCTAGCTTTTTCACTCTCATCTTTCACCCTCATCAAGAGGTTCTTTAGTTCCTCTTCACTTTCTGCCATTAGTGGTATTATCTGTATATCTAAGGTTGTTGGTATTTCTCCCAGCAAACTTGATTCCAACTTGTGATTCATCCAGCCTGGCATTTCACATGATATGCTCTGCATATAAGTTAAATAAACAGGGTAACAATATACAGCCTTGTTGTACTCCTTTCCCAATTTTGAGTCAGTCTATTGTTCCATGTCCAGTTATAACTGTTGCTTCTTGACCTACATATAGGTTAGACAGGTTTCTCAGGAGACAGGTAAGGTTGTCTAGTACTCCTGTTTCTTTAAAAATTTTCCAGTTTGTTCTGATCCACAAAGTCAAAAGCTTTAGCGTAATCAATGAAGCAGAAGTAGATGTTTTTCTGAAACTCCTTTGCTTTCTCCGTGATCCAACAAATGTTGGCAATTTGATCTCTGGTTCCTCTGCCTTTCCTAAACTCAGCTTGAACATCTGGAAGTTCTCAGTTCATGTACTGCTGAATCCTAGCTTGAAGGATTTTGAGCATAACATTGCTCGCCTGTGAAATGAGAGCAATTGTACAGTAGTTTGAACATTGTTTGACGTTGCCCTTCTTTGGGATTGAAGTGAAAAAGGACCTTTTCCAGTCCCGTGACTGCTGCTGAGTTTTCCAAATTTGATGACATATTGAGTGCGTTTCTTTAATAGCATCATCTTTTAGGATTTTAAATAGCTCAAGCTCAGCTGGAATTCCATCATCTCCACTAACTTTGTAGTAATGCTTCCTAAGGCTCATTTGACTTCACGCTCCAGGGTGTCCGACTTTGGATGAGTGACCACACCATTGTGGTTATCTGGTTTATTAAGACCTTTTTAGTATAGTTCTCCCGTGTATTCTTGCTACCTCTCCTTAATCTCTTCTGCTTCTGTTAGGTCCTTACCGTTTCTGTTCTTTATTGTTCCCATCCCTGCATGAAATGCTCAATACTATCCTTACCACCCACTAGATACCCTTCTGTCCCTCACAGGGACAGATTTCAGCCTAGGCCAGGATTAGATTACTTTCTGATTACAAAGCCGCAAAATGAACATGAGGACCTGGATGTGAAGACTTAGGAAATACACAGTGGAATCCTGCTATGTAGTCCCCATGTAAAAACGGCCGTCTGTCAGTGCGTTTCTAGACTCTTCTTGTTCTGTAAACATTTTGGTTTTTGTCCTCTGTGTTAGTTTGCTAGGACTTCTGTAATAGAAGGTTACAAATTGGGTGGCTTCCAACAGCAGAACTTTACTCTGTCATAGTTGTCAAGGCTAGAAATGCGAATCAAGGTGTTGGCAGAGCCATGTCCCCTCTGAGAGTTCTAAGAAAGAGGCCTGCCTTGCCTCTTCCCACCCTCTGGTGTTTGCCAGCAATCCTTGGCGTTCCTTGACTTGCAGATGCATCACTCTGGTCTCTATTTCTGTCTCTACATGGTCTTCTTTCCTGTGTGTCCGTGTCCTTGTGTCCGAATTTCTCTCTTTTTATAAGGACACCAGGTGTTGGACTTTGGGTAACCTAATCCAGTATGACTTCATCTTAACTTGATTACATTTGCAAAGGCCCTATTTCCAAACAAAGTCATATTCTGAGGTTCCAGGTGGGCATGAATTTTCAGGGGACACTATTCAACCCAGTACCTCCCTTCTCATTCCTACCCAGGACCAAGAAAGATTAGCTGTGGAGAACCTACAAATTCCAAGGTCACAGATTCATGCTAAATGTCTTGAATTTTCACAGCAGCATGGAAGTTATTGATTCTCAAAGCAATATTAATTTACCTGGAAACTGAGAGACTATGCTTTTTGTTTTTCAACCTTCCCTTCATCTTCTAGCTACACCTTATGCTTTTTCATATAGATGAGATCATGGGTCATTTCCGGTGATTTCCTCTATTTGTGGTATCTTCGTTACCATTTGCCTTTTTGTAATTCAGAGATTGCCATCCACCGGTGAAGAACATGCAGTTTTACCATGATAGGATGGAAGGCCCATCTATGGTCAGTTCCTACATCATTTTTGACTGTTTTTTGTCCTAAATAATTTTTTTAAATGTCATTTTCTTTCATCTCATGAATAGAAAATGGAATTACTAAAGCCAAAATACTGTTGAGAATGGCCTGAGGAAATGTGGGGCTGATATGTTTTTATGATATTAACTTTCACAAATCTCAAGTGTTCTTAGACTGCTCTTTTGGGGCTTTACTCATCCCTGAGGCTTCCACCAGTTCTTCTCTGTATTCTGTCTCTCCATCCCATGTTCTCAGTGAGGTGAGGGTAGGAGCAGAATATGCAGCTTCACGTGTGGAGTAGAGGACCACAACAGCAGGATAGGGTTGGTGGAAATGAATGGTACGTGAAAACTGTTTAATTTAGACCTGTCATTCATAGATTTTAAATCTTCTACATGCTTCCTATATAAAACAGGTCAAGGCTCGCCCAGGTCACTGGATTCTATAGTTTGGCTCTGCGTTTCAAAGAAATTTGACAAAAGCTCATCAATCAAGGGTGTATCAGGGACTTTTTGTGGTGTGGGTGGTGATATATTTCAGTGATTCAGGAAGGGGATTATCCCATGGTACTTTGGACGGAGGACCCTTATTGGAGGGGCTTCTTATACCCTAGTTCCTATGTTTTGCCTTTCCTTATACCATTCTCTGGTTTGTTTGGCATTTTAGGTGATCAAGCTAACCCTTGCAAGTTTCAAGCATGCAATGAATTTTCTGAGTGTTTGGTCAATCCCTGGAGTGGAGAGGCGGAGTGCAGATGCTACCCTGGGTACCTGAGTGTGGAAGAGCTGCCCTGTCAGAGTCTCTGTGACCTACAGCCCAACTTCTGCTTGAATGATGGGAAGTGCGACATCATGCCTGGACATGGGGCCATTTGTAGGTATGTCGTAGGTAGAGATTTTGGCTTCACAAGGTTAGAGATACTTCCTCTGAAGAAAAAGATTGTGTCTACGATGTTAGGATGATCACAATAATTTTTATTACAGAAGTTATATCTAAGTAATAGATGTGGCAGTGGTTTAGTTGCTAAGTCGTGTCCGACTCCTGTGACCCCATGAACAGTAGCCCGCCAGGCTCCTCTGTTCATGGGATTCTCGTTCTTCCAGGCAAGAACACTGGAGTGGGTTGCCATTTCCTTCTTCTTCCTGACCCAGGGATCGAACCCAGGTCTCCGGCACTGCAGGCAGATTTTTTTCCCAGCTGAGCTATCAGATGGGTGCCATCTAGTTCACATGTGAAGACTGAATCAGTTAAAAGGCCTGAGTTATACCCAGTTCAATGGGTTATTTTATCTTATGTTCCTACGAAGCTGTAAGAAAAACATTCCCTGGTGTCCTCTGGAGAGGACCTAGAGTAGTTGGAGATCTTTGTGTAATGGTTCTTAGTGGTGAAACAAGGCAATTGCTGCTCAAATTGGGTTTCCATGTATAATCAACACTTTATACTGTATCTGAAACAGAGGAGTTTTATTGTTCTATTTGAATTATGTTTTTCACAGCTTTGGGCTGCTCTTGGTCAAAATGAGTATTCAAAAATAAAGAATAGCAAGTATTTAAAGTTGTGGTATTTTAAGTATCTAATTTCTATTTTTTAAAGGTAGAGTCAAAGAAAATATACCAGACAGATGAGCAGATTCAGGTAGACTTCCCCAGTCACTCTAAACAAAGCAGAACCAATCATCCTCCCCACCACATTCCCAGGAAAGTCACAACGTGTGAAGGAGAGGATGCTGAGAACAAGCCGGGGGTGGGGGTGGGGTGGGACTCAGTAAGAGGACAATCTGTGAATTTCAAAAGGGGAAAATGTTGCCGTTGATGTTAAAAGCAGAGGAAATAGGTGGAAATGATTCAGCTTTTCTGTATGTAAAGTTTGGCTTTAAAACTAAGAGGAAAAATAGTCTCTTGATTTTCAGAGAAATGAATCTGATTTTATAAAGCAGTGATTGCTGCTCGGGGAATTGAGGATGCTTTTGCATAGCGTGTGGCCTTGGAGTTTGGAGGATCTCTGCAGTGTGGTAGAAGGATGTGAGGAGTCTGGGGACCTGGGTTCTAGGCCAGCTCTGTTGCTGACAAATTGTGTGATCTAACTCCAATTTTTTTCCTTTATCGAAAACGGGCCTGATTTTCATTATCCATAAACAACAGAGTTGACTAGGCTACTTTCTGTGAGTCTAGTTATTCTTTCATCAGTCTTTACAGGTAGTCCTGGAGGACCTCCTGGGTCTGTGCCAGGCATTGTGCACAGCTTTAATCTTACTCGCCTCTTTACTGCAGATTCCTGTGGTCAGCATTTCTCTCTCTCCCTGCGCTCAGTCCCACGGAAGGTTCTGCTGTTAATGTTACTTTCAACAGAGTGATTCCATCTGGGGCTTGGCCACATCTTGTTCCAGGTGCCGGGTGGGTGAGAACTGGTGGTATCGTGGCGAGCACTGCGAAGAGTTTGTGTCTGAGCCCTTGGTGATCGGCGTCGCCATCGCCTCCATGGTTGGACTTGTCCTCGTGTCTTCTGCTGTGGTCTTCTTCATCATCAAGGCTCTTCAAGCGCAGTATGTTAGGAGGGGAAGAGAGAGACCCTCCAGGTAAGTAACGACAGTTGCTCTCTGATGGAATAAAACGTTCCTTTTATTCATTCATTCTGTACTTTCTGTGTCCTGAGTACTGGAAGGGGTCTGAATGGAGGGGAGGGGGCTATAAAGTTGAGAAGAGACGTGGTGCCTGTCCTCAGAGGATGTCAGTCTGGAAACAAACATAAGCAACTGTTTGAACAACCTGCTAGAATGCCTAGATGAGTAATGAATTTGTTTTGCCTAGGGGAGGTCAGCTTAGACGTTTTGATGATGGTTATTGTAGTTGACTGGATAGAAGAGTAGATATTTGCTGCAGGAGGTGGATGGAAAACTTTCCAGCCAGTTGAATGAACAGAGAGGCATGCATGAATCTCACCGCACAACGAAAGAATGGCATCCCTGAGTGGGGCCAGACTGCCTGTTTCACAGTGCAGGAGGGGTTGGAAGGGTGATGGAGATAAGGTGAGGCCTGTGTGAGGACCGGGTCTGTTAGTTTGTTCCCCTTTGGCTCATTCCAGTGGTAATTAGGCAGACTTTACATCCAGGTAAGAATCTGACAAGAAATGGAATCTGATTCTCATTTTAGTTAAGTATAGGTTCATTATAGAGGAGGTAAAACCTATTCTGCTTGCTAGACTAGCAATCCAAGGGCCTTTTGGTGTAAGGTGATCACAGTCACTGGCTGTGCTTTGCTTCCGTGCTTCCAGCTCTGCTTTCGGCCGAGGTTACCTTCACTCACCCTCTGGCTTGGCTGAGGAGGCACCGCGTCTAGTTTCCTGTAGCACCCAGAACATAACTCTGTTATCATTCTTACATTTTTTATTGGTTCTGACTTCTCATTGGACCATGATTTTGTTCTGGAGAGAGTCAAACAAATTCTTTGTATTGTCAGTATCTGGAAAATTCCTAGGCACTTAATGAGTGCTCAGTAAATAGCTGTAGACTTGAATTGAATTTTTTTTAAATTTTTTATTTTTCCATTTATTTTTTTTAGTTGGAGGCTAATTACTTTACATCATTGCAGTGGTTTTTGTCATACATTGACATGAATCAGCCATGGAGTTACATGTATTCCCCATCCCGATCCCCCCCTCCCACCTCCCTCTCCACCGGATCCCTCTGGGTGTTCCCAGTGCACCAGGCCCGAGCACTTGTCTCATGCACCCAACCTGGGCTGGTGATCTGTTTCAGCCTAGATAATATACATGTTTCGATGCTGTTCTCTAAATTGAATTTGTTCTCTGAATTGAATTTAACTAAAGCCCATTCCACCATGAGTTTTTATTTCTATTACTTTCTTTGTGTGGTTACACACTGATTTTTTAAAAAATTTTTATTTTTAATTGAAGGATAATTGCTTTACAGTAGTGTGTTGGTGTCTACTAAACATGAACATGAATCAGCCACAGGTCTACCCATGTCTCCTTCCACTTGAACATCCCTCCCACCTCCCCCCTCCATCCTACCCCTGTAGTTTGTCGCCGAGCCACAGCTCGCGTTCCCTGAGTCAAACAACAAATTCCCGTTGGTTATTTTACAGATGGTAATGTGTGTTTCCATGGTACTCTCTCCATATATACCACTGTCTCCTGCCCCTCTCCCCCAGCCGTGTCCCTAAATCAGTTCTCAACATCTGGGTCTCCACTGATGCTCCACAGATAGATTCATCAGTCCCATCTTCATAGAGTCCACATACATGTGTTAGTGTACACCATTTGTTTTTCTCTTTCTGACTTACTTCACTCTTGGGTAAGAGGCACTGTGTTCATCCACCTCATTAGGACTATGTGTTCCTTTTTATGGCTGAATAGTATTTACACGGTGATTTTTAATTTGTCTGTGCTGGGAAGAATGATGCTATTCCCACTAATTTTAATGAGATGCTTAGTATTTAATATTCCTCAAAATTTAATATTTCCATTAATATTAATGAAATGCTATCAGCAGACATAGTTCCCCATCAACATTCATTAGGTACCAGGGACTTTAGGGCAAATAAAAATTAAAGAGACAAGGAACAGACCCCACAGGACACTTAGCAGGTAGTTGAGGAGATTATAGTGATAACAAGTTGGTTAATATTTGAGATTGATCTGGATCTTTTCCACAGTCACTCCCTTCCCATTTGTATCCAATTCATCTCTTTTTCTTCCTCAACAGGAATTTTGTTCCAGGTAAATAGTCTCCTAGATAGTTGGGCATCCAGAATAAACCTGAATCAATTGTACTTTTCTTTCTGTGCCTCCAGCAGGCAGTCTGATGGCCTCTCATCCGTAGAAAGTGCCGTGAAGCACAACCCTGTGTTTGAAAGTTACGAGGCCGACCTCGAGCGGTATGAGGGCCCCTACCCTCCGCGGCCCTTCTACAGCTCCGCAGACAGGGAGGTGATCGCTGGTCTGAGCAGGGAAGAGATCAGACAGATGTATGAGAGCAGTGACCTTTCCAGAGAGGTAGGAAGCTTGCTTTTTCTGTTGTGGCTCTGCTGGGGTCGGCGGGGGGGAGGGGGGGGTGTTCGTGTGTATACTTAGGCTTCAAGAAAGAATGAAAATTATTTCATGAGTAGTTTTTTTTTCCTCATGACACCTCCCAGTCAATGTGATATGTAGCCAGGATATAGTTCTGAGTTGTATTGTATTTCCTGCCCAGTGATTCTTGTATCATTATTAGTAAATGTCTCCTACCTCCCTTCACTCCTTAGAGATATATGTCTGAGTTATTCAGAGCAGCTCATGTAGTAGCCACAACTTCCACTTTTTTTTGAAAAAGTCTGCTGTTTTCTGAAACTCTCTCCTGTACTGTCCAGAGAGCTACGGTCTCTTATAAGAATTAGACCTCTTTTTTAAAATGCCATTAAAGTTTTTTTAATGCAATGATGGCTTTTTTTTTTCTTCTTCCTTCCTTCCTCCCTTAAAGGAAATTCAAGAAAGAATGAGAATTTTGGAACTGTATGCCAGGGATCCTGAGTTTGCAGCTTTTGTCAGAGAACATCAAATGTAAGCATTTAAGAGAGCACCCGCACCAGATTCTAAACAGTTTGCCTTACAGGAGGGTCACGAGTGTGAATACATAATTTCTGTCTATATGACAGGGGTTTTGTTGGTAACTAGCGTTGTTGAGTTCTTCATAGTTAATCCACATCCACTCTCATCCTGCAGTTATTCCTTCTAGTGCCTTTACACGTTGAATATTTCTTATTTAAGTTTTATGAGTGAGGAAAGGAAACCTCAAAGAAATGCAGAGTCTTACTCAAGCTCACAATGGCAGCAAGTGCCAATGACGATGGAAAACAAAGACACTCTGTGTTCTGGACTAGAGCTTCCTCACTCTATTATACTTTCTCTTATTAACATAGAGTCACCTGTTTAAATGGCCATAAATCCTCACATATTTTAACACATACTTCCTTTTCTATCTCTGTAGATACTTTTAGGTATACTTTGAATGAGGCAGATCTCATTGAATTGTGTCTTCTTGCTTCTTTCAACTTCACCTTACTTTTCAATATGTCTTTTTCCATTACTTTTTTCAGCATACATGTTGGGCAAGTGTCCATAGTTTTTTGGTCTTCCCTTTGCATCTGAGGATCCATAACAAGATGTAGGTTACAAAAATACAGTACCCTTGTAAAGAGACCATTTATAGATTAACTGAGTGTTAATTAATTGACTAATTAACTGAGTGTAGATTAACTGAGTGTAGTGGGTGGGATTATTATTTGGTTTTGATATTTGGTCCTACAGCTGCCCTTGCAAAGGTGCTTCCTCATGGATGGGTCTCACACAGGCCAGATAATGGCACCTGGCTTCTAGAAGAGAAAAACTAGAGCAATTCATGCCTGCTTATAGAAGAAACTGAAAAAGGATCAACCACACATATGGTTCTAGTTGGAGCCTCTGCCCGTTTGCCCCAGATCCCCTTTCTCTGACAGGCAGCCCCTCACTCATGGTCCCTCTGATAGGAATGGATGGATTGACACCAAAGGAAGCTGAAGAAGATGCTTTTCTGGTTCCACATGCCTGGTAGATACTCCTTTAAGAAGAAAACTCTCTGAACATCTGACTTGGCCAATGGGAGCTGCTGCAAACCTTGCTTGCGTGCTGGCAAAGCAGAATTAATAGGATACGCCTTTTAGTCCAGGATATCCGCTAGTCTCTGTATCTCCAGCCAGTAGGTGACCTACGGCACAGCTTCAGTGGTATCCAAGAGAAAGAACATGACTGATTCTTTTTAATCTTTCCTAAGACCCTTTTATAAGCCCCTCAGAGCCATCTGTGTTTCCTGAATTAAAAATGTGTCTCATCTAGGGTAAGAAATCCAAAGAGAGGAACCAGGAGGGCCTAGTTAGGGGCAGGCAGATTGACTGCATGCTTCACTTTCTTCTGGTAAGCTGTTTGGCATTAAAATATATGAAAAAACATCATATAACAAAGAAGAGTTAAACAGGATCCAGTGAAACAAAAGAATGTTCACACAGACACTATAACCCTAAGGGGATTGTTCAAAGTCGGGAGACAGCATTGAAAAAATGTGAGGGACATGATCAGTACATTTTCAGTTTGCATGTAGTCTGGAGTTTTCATATACCAGTAGCTCATGAAAATATTAATGGACTTGGTTTAGGATTCAGTAAAAATATTACATAGTCTCTGTAGACTGGGTTTTTTTTTTTTTTTTTTTAGCAAAGCACAGGACAGTTTTCCTGCAAAGAAAGAATTGGTAATTTTAGGAATATAGTTTGACAATACATTTCAACAAAGTGCATTTCAGTACATTTTAGCTTTTTTCAACTAATTGCTCTTTGTTTCATAGCAGGGAAGAGCTTTAATCAAAACTCGTATTTGCAACGGATTAGAAGCCTAGAGAAGATGGAGATCGCTCATTACATTATATTAATCAACCTGGATTTGGAACTCTGTTGAAAGAAGAGTTTTCTATTAAAAAACTAAATTTGGGACTCAAAATTTTTTTCTAGTTTAAAATTTTAGAATTTGGCCAGAGATGTGATGGTATTTATATCTGCAAAGACCAAAAGCTGTATTTCAGTTCACTCACTCAGTTGTATCTGACGCTTTGTGACCCCATGGACTGCAGCACGCCAGGCCTCCCTCTCCATCACCAACTCCTGGAGTCTACTCAAAGTCATGTCCATTGAGTAGGTGATGCCATCCAACCATCTCATCCTCTGTCATCCCCTTCTCCTGCCTTCAATCTTTCCCAGCATCACGGTCTTTTCAAATTGAGTCAGTTCTTCACATCAGGTGGCCAAAGTATTGGAGTTTCAGCTTCAGCATCAGTCCTTCCAATGAATATTCAGGACTGATTTTCCTTTAGGATGGACTGACTGGATCTCCTTGCAGTCCAAGGGACTCTCAAGAGTCTTCTCCAACACCACAGTTCAAAAGCATCAATTCTTCAGTGCTCAGCTTTCTTTATAGTTCAACTATCACATCCATACATGATTACTGAAAAAACCATAGCTTTGACTAGACGGACCTTTGTTGGCAAAGTAATGTCTCTGCTTTTTAATATTCTGTCTAGGCTAGTCATAGTTTTTCTCCAAGGAGTAAGCATCTTTTAATTTCATGGCTGCAGTCACCATCTGCAGTGATTTTGGAGCCCAAAAAAATAAAGTCTGCCACTGTTTCCATTGTTTCCCCATCTATTTGCTATGAAGTGATGGGAAGCTATATTTAAAGGGAATCAAAACTGAATTCTGGGAAGTTTTCCATAAGGAAAAAGCTGGGTCTGGGAATTGGGGGTATATTTGCTATCTGCTTCTGAGTCTCTGAGGGTGTCTCTTAATAAATGTGCCTCAGGTTTCACAGCAGGAAGACAAGGTGAGACTCTTACCGGAGGAAGTAAGCTTAATAGTTGAATATTTGTAGCATGTTAGTTCAGGTGTAATGAAAAGCTTTTGAAGTAGTTTTAACATAGTTTATGGTCAGAAATTCACCTAACTAAAATATTAAGCCTTTTTTGAATCAAACTGTTAAAGAAAAAGCAACCTTTTTGCTGGAGGATAGAGTTAGGCCTGTACCTTGTGCTTCTACCAGAGTTTTCAGTTTCCAAAGCCTGTTAATCAAAACCACACTATGTTGTTAATTATGTTAATATCCTGTTTTTTAAAGCTATCTCAGCCAAGACATATGTATAAAGTTTAGAGGGTTCTCCTTAGACTAAAGATGAATTTAATCAAGTGGACAGGGGAGGAGAGGGTGTTGGGTCAAGACCACAGTACTGAGAGTATACTTTGCTGATTGATGGGTGGGCTGAGTCAGAACTCAGCCTGGGTTCCCTGATGGGTTCCCTGACTCTGCTGCTGCTACCTCACCATGTCCTGGGCAAACCTTGTATCTCCTCTAGTTCCTGGTGTTTTAATTTCACAAAGAGGACTTAACTCCCTCCTATGGTATATGTTGGCTGCTTATTTATGAATACCTTGTACCTAAATTGACTCCTGCTTACATAAAACATGGCAGGACTTTCATTGCAATTAAAATAATTTTTTTTTCTTTATAGCTGGGAAAAAGTCACATCTTATGTAAATTATAACTGAAAATGGGAGCTTAACTCTGTTTCCAGCACGTTGTGAGTGGGGGCATTGGCGGGGGCGTGGAGAACCCTATCACTCCTGATACTGAGTTGTGTATGCAGATAGGCTATTATTGATGCAGGTGTGCTTCATGTTAGGAACCTTCATGTTAGTCAAAGATAATCTTAATTATTCTGGTTTATTTATGACCAGATATTACTAACCAGGGATAGATTGACCGTGAGCGAAAATACTTGGTTCATTTTTTTTTTTTTCTCAACTTAATGACTGCCAATTTCACTCATTATGAAGACACCAGAAACGAAATCGCTGGGATGAGTACATGCCACAGTAAAGCTATTGAAAGCCTTGAAGATATCCAGATATTTTGCAAAGTATGTATGGGTTACAGGTTTTATGTGTGTGTTTATATAGGTTGGTATCTCTTGTTTCCTGGAATTCTCTTTCATTCTCTACTCACATAATAGGTTCTCTAAAAAGTTCAGCATAGGTACAAGCCAGTGCTGGGATATTTTCTACTGGGCTCATTTGAAAGGGAAATGATATTTATCTTTAAAGCATTGTAAATATTAATGACATTTGTCACTACTTAATGCTTAATTTTATTTGTAAAACTTCCTAAGATTTCTGTGTTGAAGATTCTAAACTTCCTTGTTGTAGATGAAAAAGAAAATTTGTTTTTATTAACCCTAACCCAGTTAACCCTAGAAAGCAGCATTTTAAATGAATGTCTGCTTGCCGGCAGTCTAGATAGACATGAACTGGCCACCTTGTGGAATTTACGAGAAGCACGAATGGGGCTGAAGGAGGATTGTTGTTTCCAGAAGCCAATCAGTGAAGTAAGAAATTCTGACACATTTCTGAAGAGCAAATCTCTTGTTGACTCTGCGCAAATGTCTGCTCCACATCTGTTAATGGAAGGAACTCATGAACTCTCAGGGTGAGACCTGAGCTCCTCAGTTCAGGAATAAAGACTTTGGCCTTACCTTTGTCATAATTGAACCACAGTGAGAAAGACTGGAGAATGAAGTTTCCATGGTGAAGATCTTCTGCTGTTCACACTCTAAGGGCTAAAAGAGCTATGGGTCTTACAGGAGAAACTATCTTGAAAGAGCTTTTAGAAAGAACTTTTCCCTCGGGACTTCCTTGGTGGTCCAGTGGTTAAGAACCCGCCTTGCAGTGCGGGGGATGAGGGTTTGATCCCTGGGGCGGGAAGACCCCAGATGGTAGCCCGTGTGCTCCAACTCCTGAGCCTGTGAGCTCCAGAGCCGGTAAACCACAGCTCGAGAGTGCATGGCAAAGAATTCAAGGTGGTTTTTTTTTTTTTTTTTTCTTTTTTTGGTTCAGAAGGTGCTCTGGAGTCTTGCAGATGTAACCCTTATAGTTGAGTATACATACAGGATTCTTGGGTTCTGGATAATGAGAGATTCATTTGATATGTAGGACTCCGTTTCCATACAAAAGTGGTTTAAGGGTGTGTGTTCATAGTTATGTGCTGTAAAGTCCCATTTACTTCACGTCGTAACACAAATTATTTTAATGACTGATTTTAATCCCGCCCTTTGTTTTTTCTCTTCTTCAGTACCTGGTCCTCATGGCTTGGCTGCTCGCCTCCTCATACTTTTTAATCACATAGTAAATTGTAATGTGATTGAACAACCCTGATTTATTATTACTTCTGACAAAAGATGAAAATTGCACAAATATTCTTTGTAGGCTCTAAAGCCATATTGACTCAAATGTGTACCTGATCTATTTATTTGCATCCCTTTTTTGGTAAGTTTGCCTTCATCCATCTCATAATTTTTAGGCAGTGGGCATCTTTGTGTCATTTCCATGTTTTCAATAATGGATACTTTGATATCTATCAGCCTGTGAATTGACGTTTCATTTTGAAATGGGAAAACAAGGTAATATATTTGCTCCATGAGGAAACAGCTGATTTAGGAGAAAAACTTATCTTTATTAAGTTGAGATATTTTAGCTAAGAAAAATATGGGTCATTTTTTTTTTTTTAATGTTTCCAACAATTCCCAGTAGAATGGGTGGGGCCAGCCTTTCAAATTTACAATCCAGCTGCAATGAGTCATGCCTCCTAGCTCATTCTGTTCCCAAGTGTGCAATGAACGCAGAAAAATGGTGTGAAGGTCATAATCATCAAATCAGTTGCATTGTGTTCTGCAGAAGATCCTGGCTGGAAGTGAGAAGGTGGGAGGGTACCAAAAAGTAACTGATAATGTAAAGAATCTAAATAGAAATTTCCTTGAGTCATGGATTTTGTAAAACCTTACACTATCTGTTTAACAAGACACAGGTTAAATCACTCCCCTTGGGGTAATAAGACAGATTAAAACACACAATTTACAGCTACAGCCTAGTTGATTCCTTATCCATTTTTGCTTCACTTACACTTAGTTGCTTTTTTAGTGGTTAGGGAATAAATAGGAAAAATGTAACCATAATATCAGAGAATAAGGTATAATTATTTATGTATGTGGACTGTGATGATTATGAAGTGACTATGTACATGCCATAATATATGTTCAATATGGAGTGTGGATAATGAAAGATTTTTCTGTTTCATCTTGTTAATGATGACACTGTATTTAAAGTATGGGTCAGATAAGCTCATGTTACTGTACTGTTTGCTTGAAATGCTCTTGTCTTAATACTAGCTAATTAGAGATAAAAATTTAACAGTCTTTATGTATATGAAAGGTCTTTTTTTCTCATGTATAGAGTTGTGCCATTTTCATTATTAATAAACTTCTCTTTCAAAAATTTCCCTACATTTTCTGTCAATTAGAAGAAAACATTGTAGATTGTAGCAGTAGTTCACTTGTAATTACCACTCAGAGATACACACAGTACGAGTGTGGTGTAGGAGGGATAGTCTTTGATTAATCTTCGTGAAGTGAAATGTCCGAGAATTGGAGACAGATTCAGAGCCCAATTGTTGCCCCGAAATTTGTTGATAGTTAGTGATGCTTAGTTATTATTTGGCCTCTCTTGAACTTCAGTCTTTTAAAGTCTTAGAAACTTTCATTTTTTCCTCATTTGCTTAAGGCAGGGATGGAAGGAAAACTGGTGGAGTTGATTAAAGGAAGATTAAGGGTGAGCAGCTAACACCAGATGGTCTATAACAAGAGAAGGAACTGGTGACCTGTCTACAAGAGAACAAAGACATGAACGTGGTGTAAGAGCAATGTAAAGCAATTCTGCCTGAGTAGATCAGTTACCACTTAACCTAAGCATCAGGAGCTTCAGCTTGATGTTTTTTTCCCCTATATTTGCATGATGTTTTGCTGTCAAGAGGGCATGATGGTGTCCTAAATCAGACTTAGGGAAGAAAAGGGCGGTCTTGATTTGACTCCAAAGACTGTCTTATAAAAACTCAAACTGGGAGAAATGTGTCCAATAAATACCTATTGATTAATTAATGACACTAGTTTTAGAAGAAATAGTCATAACCTGTTTTTAATAAAAGTCTGATCAGGACAAGGCCTAGTTACTCTTTGGTCATGTGTTCACCCTGCTGGTCCACCTTCTGGGTACTTCTGAATATATGTCTCATCTGAGCTAGGTCCCATGACATGTAAGGTGTTTCACCAAAACACACACATATCTTGTATTCCACTTTTTTTATACAAATGAATCTGTGCTAAAGTAATAGTAGATGTTAATGAATCATGCTTTTCCAAATAACACCAATATTGTATGTGGTATTTCTGTAGGTAATTTATTATTCCAGATGAACAACCACAATTGTCAACATTGCACACACCATGGCAGATTTGGGGAAGAACGCATATTTTTAGCAGGTGGGCCTTTGAGAGAGCCTCCAAAAAGAAACTCCATCTTTTATGCCTTTTTCTGTACCTGGTATATTCTGGTACATTCCACTATTCACCAAGGTTGTGTTGTAATTTTTATTTATATTATTGTTCAGTGGCTAAGTAGTGTCTGACTGTTTGTGACCCCATGGACTGCCAGGCTTCTTTGCCCTTCACTACCTCCTGGAATTTGCTCAAACTCATGTCCGTTGAGTTGGTGATGCCATCCAACCAGCTGATCCTCTGGACATCCCACTAAACTGAATTCTTTGATGTTGGGACCATATCTTGCTCACTTATTATTCACGAAACCAAAGAGTGCTTGATTAGACTTGGTCTGCAGTATTCATTCAATTAGCTTGAGATAATGGGTCATATGTATTTAATGACTAGCAAGGAAATTAAGTAGAACTTGAGAAACCTGTATGCAGGTCAGGAAGCAACAGTTAGAACTGGACATGGAACAACAGACTGCTTCCAAATAGGAAAAGGAGTATGTCAAGGCTGTATATTGTCACCCTGCTTATTTAACTTATATGCAGAGTACATCATGAGAAACGCTGGGCTGGATGAAGCACAAGCTGGAATCAAGATTGCCGGGAGATACATCAATAACCTCAGATATGCAGATGACACCACCCTTATGGCAGAAAGTCAAGAGGAACTAAAAAGCCTCTTGATGAAAGTGAAAGAGGAGACTGAAAAAGTTGGCTTAAAGCTCAACATTCGGAAAACTAAGATCATGGCATCTGGCCCCATCACCTCATGGCAAATAGATGGGGAAACAGTGGAAACAGTGTCAGACTTTATTTTGGGGGGCTCCAAAATCACTGCAGATGGTGATTGCAGCAATGAAATTAAAAGATGCTTACTCCTTAGAAGGAAAGTTATGACCAACCTAGACAGCATATTAAAAAGCAGAAACCTTACTTTGCCATCAAAGGTCTGTCTGGTCAAGGCTATGGTTTGTCCAGTGGTCATGGATGGATGTGAGAGTTGGACTATAAAGAAAGCTGAGCACTGAAGAATTGATGCTTTTGAACTGTGGTATTGGAGAAGACTCTTGAGAGTCCCTTGGACTGCAAGGAGATCCAACCAGTTCATCCTAAAGGAGATCAGTCCTGGGTGTTCACTGGAAGGACTGATGCTAAAACTGAAATTCCAATACTTTGGTCACCTGATGCGAAGAACTGACTCATTTGAAAAGACCCTGATGCTGGGGGGAATTGGGCGCAGGAGAAGAGGATGACAGAGGATGGGATGACTGGATGGCATCACTGACTCGATGGACATGAGTTTGAGTAAACTCCGGGAGTTGGTGATGGACAGGGAGGCCTGGCGTGCTGCGATTCATGGGGTCACGAAGAGTTGCACATGACTGAGCGACTGAACTTAACTGACTGATGAGTGATTTGCAAGCCATTTTTAAAGAAATAGTTTATAGAGATTTAGAAAGAATCCTAAATGTTTCAAGAGTTCAGATTCGTATGTTTATATTAATCTTACTCTCATTGAGTAATTCACAGAACATAAAGCAGTAAGCATTTTACCAAACCTTATCAGACTGGATTGCTGTATTGAAATGTAATAACCTGTCTGTGTTTCTTAACCACAGACTTGAGGAAGGCAGGATGAAGAGGTGGATTAGTATGGGGAATGATGCTGGATCATAGAGAAAGCTTCGGGTGCTATGGCTGGCAGAGGAGCGAAGGTTGGGGAGCTTGTGGAGACAGGTGGGTTTGTAGGAACTAATCTGACTACTTTCTGTTGATGCCACAGGGAGTATGATGCCTTAATGTAAAAGGCATTGTTTCATCTTAAAAAGCAATTTAAAAATTTATTACTTGTTTATTTCTTTATTGTGTTCGGCAGAATAAAATAAGAGCATGAGGGGACAGGGCACTGATGTAGGTGTGACTCAGTTCTTCCCTTCTTTTAAAAAAAAACAACACTGCCCTGAGGAAGAATGAGTAGTTGGACAAACCTGTCAGTTTTATTTAGGTTCTGGTAATTATGTTTTGTGAAAGTTAGAGATGATGTCCTTTCAAAGTAGATCTTGTTTGTCCTATACATAGCAGCAACCCATGTTGGTATTTCCTCTCAGTCTCCCAAGGTTTACCGTGTGGGAAAGATGGCTTGTCTTCCCATTTAAGTGACTTTATCCCAGCAGAGTGGCTGGCATCCCTGTGCCCCGGAGGAAAGGCCCTTTCGGTGTCCTGCCAGACTCCTCCGGGAGGAAGGTCCTGTCCTTCCCTCCCAGGATGTAGGGGCTTGGAAGCACCTGCATGGCTCCATGCTCCAAGGGGATGGATGTTAGTTCTGCTCGGTGTCCAGTAACTGTCGCATACTCAAGGAAGGTGATACTGCTGCTCATATGAAAACAAAAGTGTATGTGGTCACAAGACACATGTTGAGTGTTTTCTTCCCTATAGTGAGTGAGGGAAACATTTACCTGTGTTGGCTGTGCTGGGCCTTCATTGACGTGGCCAGGCTTGTTCTCTAGCTGCGGTGAGCGGGGCTGACTTCTTCATTGTGGGGCGGGGGCTTCTCACTGTGGTGACATCTCTTGTTGTAGAGCACAGGCTCTAGGTGTACGAGCTTCGATAGTCGTGGCATGTGGCTTTAGAGAACAGGCTCAGTAATTGTGGTCCACGGACTTGGTTGCCCTGAGGTATGTGGAAGCTTCCTGGACCAGGGATTGAACCCGTGTCTGCTGCATTGGCAGGCAGATTCTTTACCACTGAGCCACCAGAGAGGCCCTAGGAAGCTAACTTTTGATTCAGATTTTAAATAGC